CTTGCATATATCAATTGAGCAATAAATTCTGCATGTTATTCTTGATCTACTTGATTGATAAATGTATTATGAACGAAATTATAGAAGATTTAGTAAAAATTCTTAAAAATTTATGAAAGTTATGTTTCGATAGCAATAAATAAATGAAAAATAATATTTAAAACAATAATTTTCATAAGATTAGATGTAGAATTTAATTTTGAATAACTTGGTTTCGAAATATTTGTTTTATCTTATCGCGTATTTAAATTATTGATAAAATACTTAATGAAATCATGTCTATAATTTTTAGACCGCTATTCTTCATATATTATCGCATATAGTGAATACGTACGTAGAAATAATTTCTTTCGCAGTTTTTTGTTAATTACACAAAAACTAAACCACTTAGAGTAATAATTCTTTCACAAGTCAGTTGCAAATTAATTTCTACATCAACCACAATAATAATTCAATAATTATCAACATTATACAGCCAGTTATTAACAAATGTCTTTCAATTTTAAATAAAATCGGCAAAAATCAATTTCTTTTTTTTTTTTAATTTCTGATTAATATCAAATTATTAATAACCCATCAGCATTTTTTGCAATCTCATAAAGAATTTAATACTGTAACAACTGTACAAACAAATATCGTATTCGCAGAATTCATTAACGAATTATAAACCGATAACTTCGCAAAAACGTGTTTTTTGCGATTTTCAGCGTGTTAATATAAATAAATTGATTATTTACATTAATAAATTATTGTAAACAACGCACATGGGTGTGACACTGTAGCAGGAAGTATGAATGAAGATTATACACATTGAATAAACAAACATTTGGACACACATTGTATAAACTATCACACGATGTAATGTTTCCTGGCTTTGAACTTTGAACAAAAGTGTATAAAATGTCAATTTTGAAGTATATAAAGATAGAATTTTAAGCCCTAGTGCAACATATAAAATTTTAGAAACATTTTTTTGAGAAAACACCGAAAAATCGTGATTTACATTGATATTTCTGAAAAAAATTTGTGATGTGTTACTTTTGTGATGATATTTTAGTGTATAAAGTTGTAATTTTAAGCACTAATACATTAAAATACTCTTTTATAAGTTGTAAAACTTGAAGTCTACATTTGTATGCATTAAATCAAGTTTTTTTAGCATGAAATCAACCTGCAATGACTAAAATTCGGCCTTCTTAAAGTTTATCTGTGTCTATTTTATAAAATTTTGTTATACCTCGGTGTTTAAAGTGTGAATTTTAAGCATTGAAATGTAAAATGACATATTTTGAATTGATAGTCATATTTTAACCACCAAATATTCATATAAACTTCGAATTATTAACATTTATCAACTTATTTTTGTGCACAAGTACTTTAAAGTGAAAATTTACACACTAGTGCACTAAAACCTACTTTTCGACACTTGTTTTTATATTTCCCTATAGTTATTTTATGAATTTCGTGCCAAAAACACTACTTTTTCTCATTAAAACCTATAATTTCATTGTTTTACCTGACAATACTCAAATATCTTTCAAACAACTTACATTTTTTCAACTTACTTTTACCCACTAGTTTCCAAACTTACTAATTCACCCACTCCTCTTAAAAAAACTACTTCTTACCACCAATATCTCTCTTGTTTCAGGACTTAGTGACTCTTTCCGAGCTTCATACATCTTCGCGCAAGATGTATCCGTGGTATCGCGATTCCGTCGGCGGGCAGCTGGGCCAGCTCTGCGGGCCGATGGCGACGACGATCAAGACAGAAAACGGCTACAGCGACTGCATGCTGGCGCTGGATTACGCCGCACAGAGCAAGGTAAGTCAATCACCACCGCCACGCCACCCTCTTGAATTTAAGCAGCGGAGGGTGCTGTGCTTTTTAAAACGACCCCTGAAATTAGTAACTCACACCCTTCATTAACGAGTGCACAAGTACGCGGTGCAGCAAATATTTATCCAGGCGTTTCGGGGTAATTTTATTTGTGAAAATTTGAATGCATTAGTAATCAAAACAGGAGAGATGGCGTGTGTCCTAAATAAATATGAAGTTTTTATCGCGGAATGTGAATGTGAAAAACAGAAAATGTTTAAATTATCATATCTCGGTGGATTTTTGAGATAATTTGTTTAAATAAACAGTATTATGTAGATTATTAATTATATTTTTAGATGGAGTTTAAATTTTTAAAATTTGTTGATTGTTGTATTAGTTATAACAATTTAAAGTAGAAAATACATTTTTTGAGTTTTTTAAAGTGAAAAATTTCTTAAAATTGTTGTAACTTATAAACAAATTGATAAAATTTAACAAAATAAAAACAAATTGATATTAGATTAAACATACTATCTTTTGTTTTTTAAATTATTAAAATTGTTTGATTAGTTTTGTAATTACAGCTTTGGAAAGTTGCATATTATTATTTTATGTCTCGAATGGAATGATTTCTTCCATAAAATTGACAATAATATTTAAACAAATGCAGATACAACAATAAATCAAACTGCAAGCTATTCTAGATTAACTATTCTTTCATATGTCGTTAAAATCAAAACATTATCTTAATTAGTGACTTAATTACAACGACTCAAAACTATTGTAACTTTTTCTAGAAATTTTTCATTAAAAAACACATTTTACTAAAATTGCAATAACTAATAAACTAATAAAGATACAAATGTAAATCAAACGTTCTATTATAGCTAAATTACTAAACTATTATTTACTTCTTGAATAAATAGTCTAACGCAATTAGTTTATTAATTATTGCTCATCAAACTTCGCGTTTTTTAAATTTTAACCAAAAATAGTAATACTTACATATAAAAATATATCGAAATAAAATCGTGTGTGTCCCGTATTCTCGTATATCTATCTCCCCGTAGAGGGATTGTCGGCGGCGCGAGCTCGGTGATTTATTGCGCCTTATCTTGGGGCGGCATCTCGCCTACACCCGCGCCCGTTAATCGCTCTGCGATCTGCGCGCCGCCGTCCACATAAAGAACGCGCACGTCGAGAGAGAATTAAACGGTCATGTTGCGACACACAGCCGAGATTACAGATTTCAGCGCCGTTGCGAAAGTTCAGGCTTAAGCCAGTAGCAGCGGCCGCAGGAGCAGCGGCAATAGTACTTGTTCGACGACGAAAAGATGCTGGAGATGGCAGATCGCTGCCGGAGATATTCTAATTCGCGACAACTTGTAAATCGTTCAAGCGGCCGGGATGCGATCGCGGTGGTCAGATTGTAAATCCCGAAGATAAATGGCTGACAACAAACAAAAACAAACACAATGTGTACACAAGTTGAGAAACAAACAACAAACATGTAAACTCGGAGAAATAAAAATCAAAGGAAAATACTTACGTAAGTTTAATCCGATTATAAGTCTATTAATTAATTAATTAACTGGTTAAGAGGAAGAGAATTTTTATATTTCTTAAGCAAATACAAAAATGTATCTTATTTTGTAGATATTTCATTGATAAAAGTTTGTTATCAATAGTTGAATTGTATTTAGGGTTAATTTTGGTGAATTTTTACCAAATTCAAGTTTAATTGTTTATAACTTTTTGTGTGGTGATGTTATAAACAAAGTGTTTGTTGTTTTTGATGTAGAATTTAGTCTAGAATCAAATTTTAAAAGAATTATTCATATAATTGCTATAGTTTTTGAGTAATCAGTAAAATTAAGTCTGATTTTATACTAAGTTGTTAAAAAATTGCAATTGTTTAGATTTTTGTTAATTACTTGAAAACTAATTTAGCTACAGGAAATATTTTTGGAGTATTCTATTGAGTATTAAATTCTGAATCTATTTACTAAATATTTCATTGTTATCAGTACCTTATCATAAGTTATAGCACAATTTCTATCGAGTTGCCTAATTTTGCCAAAATCTAACTTTAATTGTTAATAATTTAGTGAACAACAATAATGTAGAAGAAAAATATGTTTTGTTAGATGTAGAATTTAGTATAACATCAATTTCTGAAGGAATTATCAGTTTATCTCTAATAGTTTTTGGGTAATCAAAGACTTTACCTGTCATTTCATGAACACGCCTCGGGAAATATTAAAATGGTTTTATTTTTCCTTAATTACTTGAAAACTAATTAAACTGTAACAAATATTTTTACTGTAATTTGTAATGTATTAAATTCTTAATCTATTCACTAAATATTTCATTGTTATCAGTACTTCATCAAAAGTTACAGCTCGATTTCTATCGAGTTGTCAAATTTTACGTAAATCTAACTTTAATTGTTAATAACTAATTGAACAACAATAATATTTAGAAAAGATAAGTTTTGTTAGATGTAGAATTTAGTCCAAAATCAATTTCTGAAAGAATTATCACTTTATCACTAATAGTTTTTCAGTTATCAAAGAATTTACCTGCCATTTCATGGACACGCCTCTGAAAATATCGAAATTGTTTAGTTTTTCATTAATTACTTGAGAACTAATTAAGCAACCGCAAATATTTTAACAGAAATCGGTATAGTATTAAATTCTGAACCTGATTGATAAATATTTCAGTGTTATCACCATTTTATCAAAAGTTACTGCACTATTTCCATCAAGTTACCAAATATTACCAAAATCTAACTTTAATTGTTAATAACTTATTAAACAACAATAATATTCAGAAAATATATGTTTTAGTAGACGTAGAATTTAGTCTAAAATCAATTTCTGAAGGAATTTTTAGTCTATCACTAATAGTTTTTGAATAATCGAAGAATTTACTTGTCACATCATGCTCTTCATACCTGAAAATAATGCAATCGTGTAGTTTTTAATCAATTACTCAAAATCTAATAACTTTACACTAAAAATTGAATGAAAAATGGCAAACTGATTTCTTTCCTTCAAATGTTTATCTACTTACTCGTATGTTGTGATTTTTTCTCCTGCGCAGTGTGAATACTTGCACGAAATGTTTCGCAAAATTCCACGCATCGAATATGGCTGCTTAATGATTGAATGAATAAGGCACGTCGAAGACACGTTTGCTGCGGGCTGTCATTTGCATTCCGGTGATATTTCAGCGACAAATTTAGCATGCAACTCAACTTGTTTTGCCTACTTTGATACAATGGGAAATCCAATCCAATCTGAAAAAGCAAGCATTTCATTTTCTAAAAGCGCAAGTGTTTCAAAAATGCTGTAAAACATCAACCTACAACATAATCCCAACTTTTCTTAAACTTTTCTTAAATCCTCCAATACCTAGACACAAAATATCATTTTTCTACAATACCATATGAAATATGATTGGTCTGCGTCGATTAAAAACCTAAATGGCGTCCATCCTGCGTCTGCCTGTGTCGCACATGTCTCTGCAGCCACGCGATGTCGATGCTGCTGGTTAATTTGTTATTCCGGTGGCGTGCGTGCGCCGCGGCCTTCTTAGCCTTCTTCGGTCCTTGCGCCAGCCTGAAGACATATCCGAAGAGACTTACAATTCTCTTCTCATCAAGAGTCTCCGGCCATTCGAAACGCTTCTGTGTTTAGCTGCGGCTGCATTCTGCGTTTCTTGCGCGTTTACTGTGCGAGCGCAGTTAAACACAGTTAAAGCCTCATGCGAAAACGAATGCGTAATTTTATTCTGTTGTTCGGGATTCTATTAAATATCTAATTGAATTGACTTTTCACTCAATCACACGCGCGTAATCCTTTTATATGCCTCGTTTAATTATAATCACTTTATAGAAGTGCAGTTGTTGCTCGGAGATGAAGTTATTAATTAATTATGTGGGGAATAATGGTATTATTTGAATTGTTTCATTAGGAAATCTGTAAATTGGTTAATTTTGTGTTTAGTTTTATGAATATTTTGTTGATAATTGGTTGTTATCAATTGTTATAGAGTATTTTGTGTCAGTTTGGTGAATTTTTACCAAAGTCAAGTTTAATTGTTTATAACTTTTTGTGTGATAATGTTATTAATAACAGGTTTGCATAATTACGTGCAGAATTTAGTATAAAATTAAATTCTGAAAGATTTTTTACATTATCTCTAATAGTTTTGGAGTAATCAATAAGTTTAGTTGAGACTTTTAAAGATGTTGCAATAGTTTATCTTTTTTGCTAATTACTCGAAAACTAATTAAGCTGCAACAAATGTACTTTTACTTTACTGTAATCTGTAGAGTATTAAATTCTTAATGTATTTTCTAAATATTTCATTGTTATCAGTTTCTTATCATAAGTTACAGTACGAATTCTATAAAGTTGCCAATTTTTACAAAAATCTAACTTTAATTGTTAATAACTTATTGAACAACAATAATATTCTGAAAATATATGTTTTGTTAGATGTACAATTTAGTCCAAAATCAATTTCTGAAGGAATTATCAGCTTATCACTAATAGTTTTTGAGTAATCAAAGAATTTACCTGACATTTCATGAGCACGCCTCTGGAAATATTGAAATCGTTAGGTTTTTCGTTAATTACATAAAAACTAATTAAGTTACAGCAAATATTTATACTGTAACCTGTAGAGTATTAAATTTTTAAATTATTTACTAAACATTACATTGTTAACAGTGCCTTATCAAAAGTTACAGCAAAATTTCTATTGATTTGCTGAATTTTACGAAAATCTAACTTGTTAATAACTTATTAAACAACAATAATCTTTTGAAACTATATGTTTAGTTAGATGTAGAATTTAGTGTGATATCTGTGGGGATCTTTACCCAAAGCTTATTTCTGTATTTCAAAACTTTATAACTTTCTTCATCTTTATTGTATACCGTAATTCTTCATCCAAAATTCCCAAATTTCCTAATATCTTTTATTACCTTGAAAAACCTAATCCCCGAGTCGGACGGTTTTGGCACGACTCGGATTCCCAGAATCCAATGGTCAGCTTTCCCTCTCTTCAATGTCATACACTTTCTTCTACCAATCCAATCTATTACTTTCTTCCTACTTCCAAATTTCTTGTCACCACCCATCAACCTGAAGGGTTGCTGGTGGGTGACAAGGGTTTAGGAAGGACAGTTCTTGACATTACTTCAAACACTACAGTTCTTAACTATTCTTCTCTACAATACTTCTTAACTATACTTCTTCAAGACTTCTTAATAAACATTGTTCGTGATAATAAACATCGTGTCTTTTAACACACATCAATTATAACATTTGCACTCACTCACCGATCCCACAAATTGGTGACCCCGACGTGATCAAAGAACATTAAACAAACAAAACCGACGTGATTTTCGCGACCATTAAACACACATTAGTTTTTTTTTGTGGTATCTGGTGAGTCAATTCCTGAGTGCAACACAACAATGTCTACGACGAACGCAACATCAACCGCTGCCAAGGACCCAATCTTCGATGCCTCTTCAGCTACAACTTCTACCGCAGAAGGCGTCATCCACTTCTGCACCTACGATGCATCAACCGCACGTCCCGAGTTATCACCGAGGACGTCCAACATCGCCGCACCATGTGCCACCTCATCCTGGTATGCCTAGTATGCAGTTTTCTTCCACTGCCCGGCATGTGTCCACATGGTGGTCCACCACCGCACATGCCGCCGCATCTTAAACTTTCATCACATACTTCTCCACCGCATTCTACACCACTTCATTCCTACCCACAAGGGTGGCTCTAACTCTAATAGCCCTCTGCCTTCTCAACCACACTCTGGAGTACCATCATCACAGCCAGGTATTGCATCGCATCACATCACCAGGTACTTCGGCCGTACAACATCCTTCATGCCGTTTAAGTGTCAGAACATGCCACAAGTGGTATGTCTACACAGGCACAACAGAAGAAAACAGCCAGGGTTAAGAAGAAAACAAACACCATAGCCGTGGCACGTTTGCCACGAATGTACCTACCCTAGAGACGTTTTCCAGAACTGTACTCTAAAAAGCATGGTGCTCACAACTTCGACCAACCCGACAGAGATCCCAGTTCAACCAGAGATCCAGCAGCAGCAACTACAACCAATCCCGGAGAATCCGCAAGTCTCTTTAAGCAACTCTCTCTCAAACGACAAGACTTAGGAGGCAGGTACGACTCACCGACTGTTTCCACGCTGGGTTCGCAGGATTTCATCTCAGTGCAACGCGCACATCAGCTCTGCTGCATGCTCTACCAACAACTCTCGAACGACGAGAGCTGGGAGACAGGTACGACTCACCGACTGTTTCCGGACTGGGTTCCCAAGATTTCATCTCAGTGCGACGCGCACATCACTGTTGCAACCCCTCGCCAACAAGTCTCGAACGACGAGATCTGGGAGACAGGTACGACTTACCGACTGTTTCCAGGCTGGGTTCTCATCTCAGTGCGACGCGCACACCACTGCTGCAACCTCTCGCCAACAACTCTCGAACGACGAGAGCTGGGAAGCAGGCACGACTCACCGACTGTTTCCAGGCGTGGTTCTCAAGATTTCATCTCAATGCGACGCGCATCACCTCTGCTGCATGCAATACCAACTCCGAAGAGCTTCTTCCGGCCTTTCCGGTAACTTTATCACTGGTAGGGGGGTACTGTGGGGATCTTTACCCAAAGCTTATTTCTGTATTTCAAAACTTTATAACTTTCTTCATCTTTATTGTATACCGTAATTCTTCATCCAAAATTCCCAAATTTCCTAATATCTTTTATTACCTTGAAAAACCTAATCCCCGAGTCGGACGGTTTTGGCACGACTCGGATTCCCAGAATCCAATGGTCAGCTTTCCCTCTCTTCAATGTCATACACTTTCTTCTACCAATCCAATCTATTACTTTCTTCCTACTTCCAAATTTCTTGTCACCACCCATCAACCTGAAGGGTTGCTGGTGGGTGACAAGGGTTTAGGAAGGACAGTTCTTGACATTACTTCAAACACTACAGTTCTTAACTATTCTTCTCTACAATACTTCTTAACTATACTTCTTCAAGACTTCTTAATAAACATTGTTCGTGATAATAAACATCGTGTCTTTTAACACACATCAATTATAACATTTGCACTCACTCACCGATCCCACATATCAATTTCTGAAGGAATTATCTGTTTATCACTAATAGTTTTTGTGTAATCGAAGAATTTACCTGTCATATCATGAGTCAACCTCTGGAAATATTGCAATTGTTTAGTTTTTCATCAATTACTCGAAAACTAATTAAGCTATACTTAATATTTTTCTGTAAATTTAAACAGTATTAAATTCCGAAGCTATTTGACAAGTATTTCATTGTTATCAGTACCATATCAAAAGTTACAAACCAATTTCTGATAATTTTCTAAATTTAACCAAAAATAACCTTTAATTGTTAATAACTTTTCACCTAATAATCCCATTACCTAATTCTTTTCCCATCACACAAAGAATTTAATTCTTTATCAATCCCTGAAAGAATCACAATTATACCATCAATAGTTTTCCTATAATTAATAAATAAGAAAATTGCATAGAAGACTCTAGTAATTCTATTGCCATGACTTTAGCGACTATTAAAAATTAATTGAAAATATTATAAATGTAATGATGCCGGAGTGAATATATCAATCATCAAGTTCATTAACAGCTAGCGTGTGCGTGCACAACTCGTTTATGCGCGATAAATAATTATGCATACAATTACATTTCAATAACAAATTATTTTCAGTTCCTGCCACAATTATACTCGCATAAATTGTTGAGAGCTCTTCATGACCACAAATATTAATTAATAATAATTAAAAATTAAAGTATCAACGATATTAAATGTAATATAAAGTAAAATAAGAGCAAAAACAGTGATTCAAAGGTTTAAACATGTTTAAAACAAATTAAGAGTGGGGAATGATATTATTTAAACAAAAACTTGAATTAATCTTATAGTGCGTATTATTATTGATAGCTAGGAGCAAAAATTATTTAATTAACAATTAAAGTTTTTGAGTTATAGCGGTTTTTATAAAAAATGGAAAAAATTGACTTATTTTATATTTTTAATTATAAATAAAAATCGTAATAATAACAATATTGTACTTTTGCACAATTATTCTTAATTAAATTACCTTTCCAATGATGTCTAATTCAATATTGTATCGTTTCAATTACCGGAGTTACATCGATGCAAACCTGAAAAAAAATTAACAATTGATTACCATGTATTTTCATCTCTAACCTCAAATTAACTCTATTTAACCAATATTTACACAATACATCTGTTAGGCATTTTATAAACAATAAAATTATCTATAATTTAACGCAAAAATAATGACTCTATCTCTAATAGTTTACGAGTTATAACAAATTATATTCCCAAGTATTAAACTACTGCATTTTTTTACACTTACCTCAACAATTCAAAAACCCCATCAGCTATAATACACCTCTCTAGGTTAATTAAATCTACGTGAAATTTTCTTTCCAACGACACTTTAATCAACCTCCTACGTGAATAATTACCCAAGTTACAGCGCCGCAAACGCAGACAACCATGTCAGCTACTTGATGCAATGCACGCCGCATAAAGCCTAATTCTTAATACGCATGTAATACCTCGCCGTCTGAAGAAGCCGCGCGGAAAATTCTAAACTCAATTCGATTACACGCATTAAATTAACTCCTGCAATTTCATTACACAATACTAAACGCAAAAGAAGCACGTAAAAATCGTTAGTTTATTATTTATTTAACTTACCGCTGTTCTCCGCTGCCTGCTGGAATTAACTTCTGTGAGGTATACACTCACGGTGAGTGGAATATAATTAAATTACTCATTAATTAATTAATATCTAATCTCGCGGTGGTAATACGTCTGTACGGCTTGAATTCACCGCGCGTTATAAAACTCGAAACTCATTAACATATTCGCGAAACTTCGGGTGCAAGTGCGATGACTTGCAGAAATTGACCAATCAGCGTGGTGATTGACACTGACACACTCACGCTGGGGGAGCACACGGACGAGGTTGCCCGTGGCAACGGTTGCTAGGGTAATCAACAAACTGCGAAAACGTTAGCAACAAGAGGGTTTATCGGCGTAGTGAGATCACTTTCACCGAAGACTTCGCCCGGAACGCATCGATTATTTTGTGTAGTTAAAATTTTTAACAAAAATAATTAGTTTTAAGGTGTGTGTGGTACTGCTGGCTGTTTTTAAGTTAATTATATTTTGTAAGTATGTTTTATTTAGTTATTTTTCTTTTTATGGTTTGTTTTTGTGTGAATCGCGTAAAATAACTATAAAAGTAGATAAAGTTACTAAAACTCCAACTGCAACTGCGGTGGTCACGCACACACTAACGTTGCGCTCACACAGACGGTGTTGTTAGGGACAACGGTTGCTAGGGTAATCAACAAACTTGCTAAAAACCTAGCAACAAGAGCGTTTATCGACGTGTTGTGTGCATTTTTACTCAAGACTTCACCCGGAACGCATCGATAATTTCTAGTAGTTAAAAATTTATTACATTAATTATTAGTTTTTAAGTGTGGGCGGTACGAGTAACTGTTTTAAAGTTAATTATATTTTGTAAGTAAGTTTTTTTTAGTTATTTTTGTGTTTTGTTTGGTTTTTATTGTGTTTTGCGTGAAAATAACTAAAAAAGTAACTAAATTTACTGAACTTTACACATTCTCATATTGTGCTCACACAGACGGTGTTGCTATGAGTAACCGTTGCTAGGGTAATCAACAAACTGCTAAAACATTAGCAACAAGCGGGTTTAAAAATATACTACACTTATTTTAACTCAAAACTTCACACAAATCATACCTATATTTTTTAATTTATAAAAATAAATTAAAATATTGTTAATTTTATTATGTGCACAGTTGTATATTGTGAGTACCTATATTTTATTTCCTTTTATTTTTGTGTGTATTACGTAAGAGATCGCAAAAGTAAGCAAAAACTTAGCCGGCAGTGCCGCCCCACTCGCCACCCCCGCTTCATTTATCACTACGTCACGGGCGCTGTCACTTCCGGTATAGTGGGCGTCCCCACGGCGCGTCGCGACGCTTAACTATCTGTGACAACTATCAAATGCGTTTATTTTCCACCCCCGCAAGCATCTCACTGCCCCAAAGGCAGTGGGGCGGCTGAAAAACATGCTGCGTAAACAATTCTTAAATTATTACGATGAATACATAAAAATATACAAATTTCAACTTATATCTATGTTTATTTAAATATTATACATCCTGTATAATATACTTTACGATGCTCTGCACTTCGGAAAGACTAATTAATCGAGGTCGTTAGCGACTAAATGACGCTAAATGCACGCGTCGATAATTATTGCACGAATCATCATTATCGGGTCTTATGCAAATGCGCGAAGGGCTTGACGCCAGCGTCGCCATTATTTGCACATTCGCATGTCACAGCTCATCAGCTGATTGCGCGCGTGTGAAAAATTACCGAATTAAATCGAACGCGACGAGCCCGGCCACCATGCACCACGCAACACCAAAAGTAGCAAACATCTGCTATGCGGTATATGTTAATGTCACAGTGCTAATGTCTTTTGCATCTGTGCATCTGCTCCACTTCGATAACTACAAGTGTTTTCAATTTTTTTGTCCAACTTTTAAGTATTCCTGTATATTCCAATGCCTGTATATTCCTATTGATGATGATTTGGTTGCCTAATATACTGCGTGGGCTACTAATAGCCGTGCGTTTGGGTTATTAAGGTTAGAATCCTCCTCCCAGCGCCGTCGGGCTAACGATAATGGTCCCATATCCTTACACATCCGCAGTCGGGGTGTACGTCCTCTTGTATTCTTCATTCTTCGAGTCGGTGAGTCGGTCTCGGTGTCATTTATAAAAGCGCCCGGCCCCGACGACCGCACGCATTTCGGGCGATCAGCGCGATGAAGATGCGACGGCGTGGATTTCTTTTTTTGTCAGGGCGTCGATCATCCGTCTTCCGATGGCGCGGTCCGCCCGGAATCTATCACTCGATTTGCGCGCAAGGATTATGGCGAGACGAGGGAGATAAATCGCGCTGTCGCCGGCAGAGCACTGAGCGAATTGAGCGCACCCTCTGTTTGAGGAACATCTTTCATAACCTTAAATCTGTGCGGCATTAACTTAACCTTATTTGGGGGACTTGGGAGTTGGGAACTACTCACTGTATGCAACCAAATTAACATTTTTGGTTGAAACTTGCTTGGTTTTTATTGGAGGAGGATGAAATTTTATATTTGGGTAGTCAATTAGTGAGGCTTTAAGTTTATTTCAGTAGATTTTATTTATTTTATCATTTTACGGAGTTATTGAATGTCAAAGTTGACCAATTTTTTCGAAGTTGTATAAATGGAATTGTTTTGTTTGTTAGCGCCCTCTGTCTACAGTTTTTATCTGAAAAGTTTAGGATTTTGTATTTCGCTAGTATATTAGGGTGTCTTTAAATATATTACAACAAAATGTAATTATTTAAAGTTTTTACAGAGTTATTGAAGGTTTAAATTGACCAATTTTTGCAAAAAAGTAAAAATGTGATTATTTTGTTTATTAGCGCCCTCTGCATGCAGTTTTAAAGTCACAATGTTCATATTTTCAATAATATTAACCAAATAATCACTCTAAATAGTAGCATAAAAAGTTTTGGAAAATATAACCTAAAACCAAAGATATTTGAGGTTAAACTTGACGTTTTTCTAAAAAAAATCTTTTTTAATTGTTTCCTTGGGTTTTTCACTAATATAACCCTTAAATACTAACCAAAACTCTTCAAATTAACACATTTACATACTCAACGACATAATTCTGTATTATTCCCTCGAAAATGGTTTGAAGTGTTCGGGGATTTAGCGTAACATCGTCCGAAATTCGGTAAATTGGAAAATTACGGGTATTGTTTTCCATCCAGTTCGATGCTTGCCCGTTTGCGGTGGTAAATGACGGGGAACCTAAACGCCGTGCGCCGTCCCCTCGATTTATTCCACCCTTCTTTCCGCCAGTTCCTTTCCGTCACGTTCGGGGACGTTGCGCTTGGTCACACACATGCTAAAATTCAACTCAACAAACCGTACTAGTAGTCGTACTCGCATTTAATTTCGAAAAGAAGTAAAAACACCTCGGGAATATTAGCCATAAATAAACGAAAAACACGATGTACTCGTACTTCTTAACTGTAAATATTTTAACTCCAACAGTAAAATCCTAATAATTTAACGCATGTTTTACGCCTAAAAATGACACAGCGTTTTCAACTCCCTTTCATCTTTCCCATCTTTCCCAGTTTCAAGTCAAACCTACGCGAGAGTTGCCGCAAAAGTTAGCCGAGAATTAATTTCAAGCCTTTTCATCGTCATCTCGAACTCGTGTAGCTCGGAAGAGTTAAAGAGTTAAGACTTAAGTTGAGTCTAAAACGTTGAGTGCGTTTGTGATGTGTTGTGATGCGCCTCGAGGCGCTTGTGGTGGTCGTCCGAGAGGCGCACAAAACTGCAATGTCAACGCTTGATTACAGACATTACACGATATTTATTAAAATAATGATTATGCAATAACTGCCTGCCTGCCTGCCAAGCGACGACCAACGAGATGCGATGCAAAATGTAAAATGCAAAAACTCGGAGTAATAAGACGAGAAATGTGCAGAAAAAAACAGCAAAAAAAGGACCGTCGGGCGCATAATTTAACGAAATGTAATTTAATTATGAAATTATCGCTTCATTAAATTAAAGTAAATTTCCTCACATGGTAATTGCAATCAATTTAGATGAAAATATTTAAATTTTAAGAAAAAAAGCGTAATGCAGGTAAATTTTTAGTTTTTCTGGAGTAATTTCGGTAATTATGGTCATAATTACTTAATATTTTTAATTTAACAAGTGTTTTATTTATAATAGAGTACGGTTTTGTTTGATTTTATTTATTTTTCTATTTTTACAAGAAAAAAAATTGAGAATAGTCTAAAATTTCGTGAAAAAAATGATAAATAAATTTGTGTAGCTTCCACAAATGTTAGGTTATAATGATGAAAGTAGCTATATTAATAGGTAGTTAACTAATTTACATTATTATCCAAATGATTTAGCATAATGTTGACTCTCACCAAAGATATTTGAGGTTAAAATTTAG